TTCTTCTTCAGCTCTAGAATTGTGTCTTTGAATTCTATTTGTTCCTTTAACTCCCGAAGGGGCCTGGGAAACCCTCGGCCCTTGCACACTGCAAACCCTAAACCCTAAACCCTAAACCCTCCACTCGAAGTGCGTCTCTTTGCTGCTCCGTCTCTAAGGGCCTTCTCTCCCCCCAGACTGCAGCAGCTGCTTCCTTTATAATGTCCCGGGTGAGCGTCTTAGAAGGGCCGGCGTTTCAGGAGAGTCCGCAGAAGCCCCCCGTCGCTGCTGCTGCTGCTGCTGCTGCTGCTGCTGCTGCTGCTGCCTCTGCAGTTGCTGCTGCTGCCCCGGCTGTCGCCCCCCAGCTGCAGATGACCCCCTTTGCTGGGAGCTGCTGCGCTTCGCTGGGGGGCGCTCGACACGGCCTGTACGGGGAGGAGCGGCGCGAGCAGCAGCAGCAGCTGCTGCAGCAGCAGCTGCAGCAGCAGCAGCTGCAGCAGCAGCTGCAGCAGCAGCTCCAGCTGCAGGCCGACGACGCCGCTCCCGCCCGCGGCACCGCGGACGCCGAGCAGCAGCAGCAGCAGCAGCAGCAGCAGCAGGAAGAAACCATTTGCTGCTGCTTAGACTCTCCTGTTAACAAGGATTCTCTAATTAGTGTTTCCACAATCTCTTCTGCCAGCAACAGCAGATCATTTCTTGCTGCTGCTGCTGCTGAGGCTGAGGGGCCCCAGGAGCCTGACGACAGCTTCGGGGGCCTCGTGGACCCCAGGGACGGCCAGGGTTCTCTCTGGCCCTGGCAGCAGCAGCAGCAGCAGCAGCAGCAGCAGCAGCAGCAGCTGCTGCTGCAGCAGCTTCAGATGCTGCAGCTGCAGGACGAACAGCCCATCGCCGCCGCCTCGCAACAGGTGGATATGGCGCTGCTGCCGTCAGCAGCAGCAGCGGCGGCGGGAGGTGCAGCAGCAACCACTGCAGCAGCAGCAGCAGCAGCTGCTGCAGCAGCAGAAGACACTGCCTGCGAAGAGCAGCAGCTGCTGCTGACGGACTGGGACTCCACTGAAGAAGCTTTTTTGCTGCCAGAAGATGACGGGGTGGAGACAAACTCCCGCAACAGCAGCGGCCCGGTGAGTGCGCCTTTTGCTGCTGCTGCTGCAGAAGAAGCAGCAGCAGCAGCAGCAGCAGCAGGGCTGCTGGCACCCTCTCAGGAACAGCCAATTTCAGCCACAGGTGCTGCAGCCGGTTTGCAGCAGGCAGCAGCAGCAGCAGCAGACTCAACTGCAGCATATGCTTGGAAGCAGAGCTGGACACGCTGCGTCTCAAAGCAGCAGCAGCAGCAACAGCCAAAGCAGCAGCAGCAGCAGCAGCAGCAGCAGCAACAGCTGCTTGGGACAGAAATCAGCCCATGGACATGGAATGGCAGCTGCTTAGGTGCTACAAACAATACCCCAGACATGCAGGCGAACGGCAGCAGCAGCATCAGCAGCATCAGCAGCAACAGCGGCAGAAGCAGCAGCAGCAGCAGCAGCAGCAGCAGCAGCAACAGCAGCAGCAACAGCAGTGACAGCAGCAAACTCGTGCCAGATAGTGCGGGGCAGCAGTGGGGCTCCGAGGCGCATGCAGGGGCCGATTTGCTGCTTGCAGAAGTGCGGCGTTCGCTGAAGAGCTTATCTCCAGCAGCAGCAGCAGCAACAGCAGCAGCAGCAGCAGCAGCAGCAGCAGCAGACGGCAGCAAGCTGCTGCAGGCGCCGCAGCTCAAAGACGCACAGAAATCAAATGCGCAGACTCTTTTGCTTCAGCAGATGAGCAGCAATTTGCTGCTGCAGGGTTTAGAGGGACGGGACCAGTGGACCACAGCAGCAGCAGCAGCAGCAGCAGCAGCAACAGCAACAGGTGCAGCAGTAGACCCAATGTTGCTGGCAGCAACCGCCTTGCTCAGCGACGGCGGGCTACGTGACCCCGGCAGCGTGTGCGTACCAACATCAGCAGCAGCAGCAGCAGCAGCAGGAGTTGCTGCTGCTGCTGCTGCTGCCGCAGACAGAGACGGAGGAGATGCAATGGATTCCGGCGAATGTCTGCTGCGGGAGACAGGGAGTTGGCCCTTTGATTTGATGGCCACTCAGCAGCAGCAGCAGCAGCAGCAGCAGCAGCACGAGCGACAGCGCGTGACAGAGCTGCTGGACTGCAGCAGCAGCAGCAGCAGCAGCAGCAGCAGCAGCAGCAGCAGCGACAGCAGGGCCCCCCCAGGCTATTTCTCATATTCCCTGGGAGACCCTGCGGGCCAAAAGCTGCTGCCGCAGATTTGTCAGCTGCCAGCAACAGATTTAGAAGAGACACAAAGGAGACACTTGCCTTTGGGGGGCCAGGGCGCAGCAGCAGCAGCAGCAGCAGCAGCAGCAGCAGCAGCAGCGGCGGCTGACGCGCCGGGCAAGAAACAGAGCAAAAGCAAATTTAATTTGGGACTTAGCAGCAGCAGCAGCAGCAGAGGCAGCAGCAACACAGACGGCAGCAGTGGGGACAAAGGGGA